TCCATATACCATTGTGCCCTTTCTCTTCTGGAAGATTCTGGCTATAGACTTGAAGAGGGTCTTACACATTGGCTAGCATTGCTTTTGTCATGATACTGGCAACTCCAATAGAGTATGAAGTGATATCTGAGCAACACGCCAGCATGTTACAGTTAATTTACTATAATGAATTGCCAATAAAGACCAACGGATCCATGTTGCCTTCTAGTATATGTTACACATATATACGAATGGTCGGCATGTCATGAGTGGAACCGGCTGGAGACGGGGGTCAGACTAGATGGCCCGGGAGACCCCTTCTGACTTGCTCTGTTTCTATGTTTTTATATCTACATTTATTTTTAGCTATCACAATGACATAAGAGCCATACTAGATCAGATCAAGGATCCAGCTAGTTCAGCATTCTGTTCACACAGTAGCAAAACAGCTGCCCATAGGATCCCTCAAGCAGGATATAAATTCAATAATCTCCTTTTGCCCAACTCCCCAGCAGCTGATGTACATTGGTATACTACCAATACTTAAGGTAACATATAGCCACCAGGATGAGTAGCCACTGATACCCTTCTCCTTGGTGAATTTGTTCCATCCCTTTTTAAAGCCACTCAAATTGGTGGACATCACTACATCTCAAGGAAGTGAATTTCTAGTTTCCCCTTGACATTACGTCCAGTCATGCCTGACTCTAGGGGGCAGTGCTCATCTCAGTTTCCTAGCTGAGGGAGCCAGCGTTTGTCTGCAGACAGTCTCCGTGGTCATGTGGCCAGCATGACTAAACACCAAAGTTCACAGAACACTGTTTACCTCCCCACCGAAGTGGAACCTTTTTATCTACTTGCATTTGCATGCTTTCGAACTGCAAGGTTGGCAGGAGCTGGGACAGAGTACAGGAGCTCACCCCATCTGCGGATTTGAAGTCGACCTTTCGATCAACCAGCCCAGCAGCACAGCAGTTTAAACCACTGTACCACCTGCATCCCCTTAACTATATACAATGCATTAAGAGATATTCCATAAAGAAATAGGTTGTGTGACAGAAACACACAAGGGGTGTGGAGAAAGCAGCCAGAACGTCATCAGCAAAGGATTCTCTTGAACAAATTTGCTATTGCTTTGCAACCCAATCCTCTCTGGTTATACTTGCAAGCTAATGAGTAACAGCAGGTGGTTATCCATCATGATGTCAACAAAGATAATGTTGCAGCACCTCATCTAGACTTCTCCACCCTCTTAGCATAAAAATACTAGATAAGGACTCCTGTTCATTCAGCAAAAATGACCACTATTGTGGCACCAAAGTTTAAGGGGAAGAAAAGGAGTCTAGTTCCTCTTTAAATGTGGGCCTCAATGGCTACTGCAATGGCTTTTGATTCATTTCCAAGGTGAGTTCAAGGCCTTGGTGATTAACTACTAGCCCTGACATGTCTTGGGCCTAGGCACATGAAGGGATACCTGTTCTTCTAATAACCCATCCATATTGTTTGAGGTGAGATATGCGAGATGGGAAATGGGCTTTTTTGTTTGTGGCACCCTGCTCTCCGCTTAGACTCTAAGCTTTAGAGAATTCTATGGGACTAGTGATGGGGAATATAAGTTTAATAAACCAACAAATAAATAAATATTTTTTCTGCCAAGCAGAACTTTTTACTCACCCCAGCTTTGAAACAGCATTTTGCTCTGATTTTTAATGCAGTCTTTAATGCTGATTTTGACACTCTGATGTTTTACCACCCTGAAAACTGATGTTGAAAGATAGTATAGAAAATCCTTAATAAAACAAACTACATTAGAAAACGAGAAATGCTTTGGAAGCACCCCAGCTTGATGCTTGGACCCAGTGGAGTGGATAGTGTCTCCACCCTGAATCAGAACAAGTGGGGCTCAAATCCGGATTCTGACATGAAGCTCAGTGCTCTGATTGACTCTGTTCATGCTATCCTTGATACATCAGAGAAATGAAAATACATTGCATGCAATGGGATGCTACTCTGTTTTGGGCAGGGATTTTATCAATTCAAATGAGGAAAGTCTATAGCCAACAGAGGACCTGCCCAGCATGCAAAATGTTCCAGGTTCAGTCCGTTACTTCTCTGTAATTTATTTATTTGATTTGATTTGCATGCTGCCCCCTCAGTCCTAAGGCTCTCTGGGTGACTCACAACAAAGCATAGCAACTAAAACAGTGCAATTCATAATAAACCAAAAAAGGTTCCTGTCAGAAACCCTGGAGAGCTGTTTCCAGTTAATGCAGACTGTAGACAATGCAAGTGGGATGTGCTGTAATGTGTGTTCACGGCTGCAGCCAACCATGCCTGTCTCCAAAAGACTGTTTCCATCTACCCACGGCAGTCAGCATTATTCACTGAACACTTCCCCATTAAGCTTTTCTGTTCTTCCTTCAGGTGAAAAAAAAAAAAGGCAACCTTTGCAGTTCCTCCAAGCGAGGTACCTGTCTCTTCTGTATAAATGGTAGAAATGTGGGTACATAAGGATAGACACTCAGATATATGTCAACGACAATATATATCAAGGGTGTGTAACCTTTTGGCTCTGAAGGCTGCATCTAGGGAAGCATGGGAGCTGCTCACACATTTTGACCTTCACCTACACACTCTTCCCTCTTACTCTCCTTCCTCCGCCCTCATAGGTTTGCCCACTGCAATCTAGGGATTTCTGGAGTGGAGAGAGGTTAAAAGCCCCTCCAATTGCCTTGCAATCACTACAAGATTACTGTTTCTCTGTTTGCACTAGAAATGGGAAAACGGTGATCTTAAAAACCAAGCAATAGCCATTTTTTCTCTCCATCTCAGCTGGTTTGCAGTAGAAGTGGGTGGGATCGTCCTAGCTTTGGGGGCTGCATGTGAGCCCAGGGCTACTGATGATTCAGCCTTGGTATATATGATGAAGATGAGCAAGAGACCATAATGTAACAAACCAATCAATTTTTGCATATGCACTCTACAAATACTATATCTTGCTTGCATGTAGCAAGGAAAGTACAGGTTAAAATGAGTAATGTGAACATGTAAATGTTAAAGGTTCAGTTTGCACATGTCAATCTACAAATAAGAATCTTGCAACTAGTCTTTTCTCTGATTACTAGCATTCTTTTGCCTATTTCATTTTAACTTTAATCATTCTGATTTCAGGCACAGGCAGTCTCAGCTCAGTCCATCTTGTTCTTTCTTTCCTGCACAGTACATAAAAGGTAACCAAATAATGCATGAAAGGAACTTGGTGCCTTTGCTCTCTTGCATGAACAATGTTATTGTTACAGTTCTTCAAACTGTGATTCACACATCTGTTCTATCGTATGAGTCTTAGGCTTGGTTCATGCTTTGCATTTCTGAAGTAATACTCTGACCACTTCCTGGGTTTGTGACTCTTGAATCTGAGGGGGTCAACTGTTTGGAAAGGGCACATAATTAAAAATGCAATTCTCTGTGCTTTTGAAATGACACATTCAGTCATAACACTGTATTCATTTTACACACAGTTCTGCTCTACTAGCCAACAAGGGTATCAGCTGTGAGAGGGCAAAGCAAGCCCTGGTCTGACAAGAAGCCAAATGTCACTTACCTGTCAAAGACAGTAATGCAAATCTGAAATATACTGAATCAAATATATTGCTATTTTTTCCAGCAAAGCTGGACTATAAGCCCCAGTGTGTATTTCCCATACTCAGCTGACAAACGCAATGAAAATTCTATATAGCAGAGAACATAGATTAATGTCAAGGCACATGCTTGTGGTTGACTGATATAAAATGTAAATATGTTTTAAGTCTGTGAGGCTACTGTCATTGGTCAGCTGGGAGAACTGTCCTGGTTACTAAAACTGTGTTGGACAATTAGATACAGAGCAGGGATAACTGTAAAATTAGGAGAGCCAGTGTGGTACAGTGGTGAGGATTCTGGACTGGGGACCTGGAAGATTCAGGTTATGGTCCCCACCTGGCCATGAAACTAACTGGGTGACTCTGGGTTAGTCAGTCATTCTCGGCCTATCCTACCTCTTATTGTGGTGGAGCTCTGATCCTAAAAGAGGTCCAGATGTATATTGTTCCAGTGGGATATGTACTGGTACATTAATTCTCTGGTTGGTGGCAGATGATCCTGATTCAGATCCCGCAGTGGTGAACTTGCAGGGCTTGTCACTAAGATGCAATTCAAAGGAGGGAAGCAAAATGCTGGTTATCTAGGGAAAATCCAGTTTGATCTGTTTTCCATTTACCCCCACACCCATATTCCCACCACTTCCTTCATTTTTCATACAGGTTGATGGAGCAGTGAAATTAAATTACAATGGGTTTCTGGGCAGATCAACTGTAGTTCTAAAGGGAAAAAATTAAAATGTTCCTGAATGTGAAGAAGAGGTAAAGCAGACACTAATTAAATAAAAAAGAAGAAAAGGAGAAAGAAGAAACATTTCTGAAATGCTAGGGCAATGCTCTGCAGGGAGAGAAGAACAGAAAGGCTAGCTTAAACGATAGGGCACTGCAGGGGAGGGAGTATATTCTCTGTGTGTTTTGTGCTTCGTAAGATGGGCAGATGTACTCATCTCTCACTGAACAAAAAGAAAAATGAGTAACTAAGACTCGGTTATTCAGGGCTGGTCAAGGAGGAGGAAGGAAAGAGTGTGGTATAGGGTAACAATGAGTTTTAACTAGTGCCAAAAAAGGAATAGCCCATTTTGCCTTCTAAGCTCTAAGATCAGTCAGTGGATTTTTCAGCATGTAGCATGTGCCAACTCCAAGGTTACAGACAAAGCCTATAGATAATTTGGCTGACTGCTATCTGAGTTTCCTTCTCAGATGATTCCACCAAACCAAAGCATCCCCTGGAGACAATGATGCAACTACATATGGGATATGGAAGGAAGTATGATGAAAGGAAGCAAACAAATGTTTAGAATCTTTGCATCTTCAAAGAGGAAGCCTTAGGAACTTCCTAGATAAAAACTTGATAAAAAGAGATAAAAAAGAGTAAGAATAGGTAGCACAATTTTAAAACGATTTTATAATTTCCTGATGAACTTAGTTTGTGAATAAAAAAAAAGAAAAATGGAACAAAAGTGTTTATATTATCAAGGCAAAGTTGAATATATAACACAATTTCTTTTCAATTCATTATCCTGTCAGTAACATGACTCCATCGATAAAACACATACAAGTTGAAGGCAGCGTGCGCACTTGCATTACAGACATATATCATCTCCCACTGCTGCTCCTACCAGAAGGAACTCAAAGTATGCCAGACTATATATGAAAGGCTTGTCTCCTCCTCCATTAAAGTGCAAAACATCACTTTCGAAGTAGCAAAAGATCCCCATCTGTAGTGTGTGTGTGTCTGTGAAGACAGCCCACAAGTTTTCACTCCCTATGACAGCCTATAGTATTGCCTTCATGAATAATTTGGTGAAGCAGAAACTGGTGTTCCAATTTCAGCAAGAGGTGAATCCAAGAGAAGTAGCAATACTCCTGTGGCAGGGATGAATGAGCAGCATATTATTTCAGTTTATAAGAGGATAATCTGGATATAATCCCATCTACTAAACAAGATGTGAACATTTGGTAAACAGATAGTTTCCTAAAGATCTAGCATACCAAACTCATAAAAAGTTGATGGGGGGTTAATTAAAAGAAGAAATATCTGTGACTTATTTGTATCGAGAAGGCTCCACTGACACCAGTATTAAGCCAAATCATGGGTTTCCTAGGTTGAAAAAACAGATGTCTTACCTCACCTGAGCCATAAGTAGATAGAGAAAACTAAATTAAAGGGCAGTATCAATCAAGCTTGGTCTAAGATGTTTAGATCCTATAACAACAAAGATGTCTCAAGTGTGGACTATAAACTAACTGTTGTTCTTCCGTTTGTTGTCAACTTTGATTCTAGCTCAAACAATTACCAGTGAATCAAGTGATTTGAGGAAATTTCAGCACTGGAAAATTGGTAACATCAAATTGAAAGGATTATAGACATTCCCCAAATTAATCAGGATTATTACTTAAAGTACATTCATGCACAGCAATTTAAGATATGATTAGTAGGAATACTAAATCCATTCAAGATATATAGATTTATGTTGGCCAGACCCTTTAAAGTTAATGAAAATCATCTATCCTCATGATGCAGAAAAGGCAAGCCCTTTGTTGTAAGATTATGAATGTATATTTTCAAAGATGGATGCATACAAAATAAGAACATGCATGTAAATGGTACTGGCAGAGATTAAGATGCATTATGTAGTTTATGTGTACAAGATAGGGACTGAAGTGTGTACAAATATGCTTCAATGCATTACTTCTATTTAAATTTGCAGTATTTAAGCCTGAGAATACCCACAAAATCCCAGTAATTTCTAGTGTAGATTATAATTTTGTCCCTTTCTATATTTTAAAGGTAGTCCATTCTTTACAGGGTTTGGAGAGGGATAATGTAGCAGAATTTTTAAGAAGGCCACACTGGTTTGGTCTTCCTTGATCTATCAAAGGCAATTGAAAGGTATCTTAAGCCTAAAAAATCAATTTCCTTATAAAACTGGGAGGAGGAGTCCAGCACTTTGCCTTTTCATATTTTGAATTCCTTTGGACAATACATTTAGTTTTTACATTTTTTAAAACACATTTTTTCATTTCTACTTCTATCTTTTTTATTTAAAATCAGACAACAGACACACATTGTCAGTAACTGCCCCACCTTGAGGACCACACAGACAATAATTGACAAGCAGAGAATGAAAACAGAATAATAAAATAAAAAACACCCCTGAAAAAGTCAAGGGGAAATACCAATGATGACAGGGTTACAGCACTTGCCACAGACTGGAAAAAGTCAGTTTTTTATGTTTACGCTTTTGACACTAAAAAGTTTGTAAATGCTTTTATCTCTTTTTTTTTTTATAAAAGGTCAACAGAGACAGCCATTTTGTTCAGAAGGATAGCAGCTCCCTCCATTAATGGAAAAAGTTAAAAAATATTATATATTATAAAAACAGCACCTGCTGCACTTACAAGACTGAATGACTGGCAAGAGAAGAGCTTGTCTTGTTAGTTATGGCAGCCCTAATCCATCCATTGCCTGGCCTCCCCACTCCACTGGCTTCACCAGGGCAGTGTTACTAAGTCTAGTGCATCCTGCTTTCCATCCTTTTGCTTGGTTCTCTAAAGTTAGTAGCTACTTCCATTATTTCAAATATCTACCTTTTTACTAACTTGTACAAAATTAGTTCAGTTAGCATAAAGTTCTAATTTAAAGAACTTCAGCAGAAAGTATATTTCATTTCTAAGGTCACTCTAAGAACCCATGCTATGGTAAGGCCCAGGAGTGTGAGACAGGAGGAAAAATGTTGCTCCTTATTTTTTTCAGATAGAGGAATTTTACAAAACAGAATATTCCTTGAATTAAAAATAGAGAAAAACGGATGCCTGAAACTCCTATATACATTTACAATGATATTGCAAAATATGTCACAACAGTTCCCATGCAGTGAGTCCTTTCCTTCTATATATGGCATTTTAATAGTAAACACTTGTCTGTCACCGTAATCTTCATTCATTTCATTCTAGCAGATGTTTAGGATTTTGAGAGAGTGTTTGGCATTTCTGGGTGAAGGTAATAGCTAAAGGCAGTCACTATTCTTGACGCACTAAAAATGTTATTTGCATGTTCCTCTTATTTTTTCTTTACTTGGATGTTGGTTAATATCACTATGTCATTCTGATGTTGATGTTGTATTTATTTGAACTGAGTTCAATTTCAATTTGAACTGAGTTAAACCTCAGTTTGATGGGAATGCAATTATAATGTGGATTTATCATTAAACAATGTCCAATTAGGGAGTCAATACATTATCACAATTTTTCAGAGAGCTATTAACAGCAGCACCAAATTAACGAAAAACAGAGAGTTCCTAAGGTTTATAAACATGTTTTCAAACATTAATAATGAACTTTTTCATAGTTTGTAAGAGTAACATGACCAAGCCTTGTTATAATCTAGTTCCATCAAACTCCAGCAACAACACTCTATCAATGTAGCTAGTATAAATAGAAGATTTTGGAATTCACTGATAAAAGGTTATTTTTGAAAACCAAACCGAGAAATAAGGAAGGTGAACAACAGAGTACCTTTCCAACATAATTGTCCAGAGCTGTGTTTTCTGGGTACAGGGGGCAGATTTCATTTGTAGGAGATGCAAGCAGAAATACAATCTATGAGAGCTTTGTAGTGGGGGTGGCAGCTGGATTGCCACATATATCCATAAACCTGGATATTTCATACCATCTAATAATGATGACAAAGTTAACTAGATCCACAAATCAGTCAACAACCTAGCACTCCACTGATAAAGGAAACAAGTTAAGCACCCCATGCTTGATTACAATTCATGGCCAACAGCTTGCATTTAAGCTTCGATAGTTCCTAGAGAAATGAACAGAGACAGGACTTCTATCTAACTGGCATCAAAGAGATTATCTGCAATGCTTTACTGATGTTAAAGCCAGGACATTGTCTCAAGATCAGAAGTTGTTTGCACTCTCTCTCAGTCTAAAAGCATTTTACTGTGGGCTTAGATCAGATCTGAGGGTGGCAGGACTCTAAGCTTGCAGAATGGGACAGAAAGGATGCATGAAGTGGGGGTATAAGAGAGGGGTTGCAAGAGAGGCGCATTCCAGGTTGGAGGGGGAAGGATTCAAACAACAGGTGACTAGTAAAGATCAAACTGGCCAACATGGGAATTGGATCTGATTGACAAATCTCTATACCTTGCAGAACATTCTGTGAGCAAAGCAAAATGGAAACATACAAGCTTTATCATGCTTTCATTGCAGTGAAAATACAGAATAGGGTATGCAGTATTCTAGCAATGTCACACCTGTACCAAAACAGATCCTGATTTTGCAGTAGCCACATGGTGGCAGCTGAGTTAAAAGGTCTTGAAATACTAGCATGCAGAACAGTGGCTTGCATGCAGTGCGATATGCACATGGGAACGGAGTAGCAACCATAAGGGACTATCTCTGACTAGCTATACTGTAAAGTCCTGATTTTCAGCAATCCACCCCCCACAAAACAAAACAAAAGAAAACAAAAGCCTCACTATCAAAGAGCATCTCAGTAAGAGCTTTATGAGCAGCAGTTATTTCAAACACAGATAAGGAAAATTCCACAACTTCTCCCACAGAGAGAGTGGATTGTTTTACAGAGGAGCACAAGGGCAGCTGGAGTCCTGACCATATAACTTAATAGGATAGTCAGGGAGTGGCGGTGGTGGGAAGATGTTAGGCCAAAAGGCTGAGATGGTTTTACAGGCAGCTTTAAAATTCTACAGTGAGCAATTAAGGATGAAGAAAAAGCTAGAAGGGAGGTTTCAAAACAGCAGCTCCTATCAAAATGTGCTGACTCAAACCATAGGGCCAAAGGCGCGGCTCTGGTATGAGGCATGGCTCAGTGGTATGTACAGTCACTGTCTACATGCTTTCCGGTAAAGGCAATTTCAACCTTGAGAACTTTCATGTCTCCCCCTGCATCATCTTGCATTATGATGCAAAGCACCATCCACATCCTATTGCTACTGTCAGCTCCAAAAGCATCATCCCAGAGCTCCAAAGTCATAAAGGTGCTAAGACAGTAATGTGAAACTCTCATTCGGAAAACTAATAGGGAAAACATTGCAATTCAAAACTAAGTTTATTTCTTCACCACTTTTCTGAAATAATTCCAAAGTAACTCCTCTGTAGGTGCTAATGAAAGGATAAAGCTGACCTTTTTGAAGAACTTGGCTTCAGATGTCCACAATGCATCCTTTTGTGATCAAAAGGAGACACTGTTTATTTTATAAGTATTAATAAAAGTAATTATTTTGTTTCATACATAGTATTTCCTTGCTCTTTAGAAATCAGTAATATTATAGGGTGATGGTTACCAGATCTGGTGGGTGGGAGTCAAGGCCAAGGAAAAAAGACCTTCAGTATGGTCTGTTTTGTGATCAAGGCTATACTGTAAAGTCTGAAAAAGAAGAAAAGTTACTTGAGAATCTGTCTGCTTTATAGGAATCAGCAGATACAAATACTCAGCTACAAAACACTCAAGTTAGAAAAAACAAGCATGGTGATCAGGACAATCTGCTAAGAAACCAATTTAAGGGCCAGTGGTCTTTCCTCTTACCTTCCAAGACATTCTGTTAACCTGTTCTAAAAGGCCCTCTTAACCCTGAAAGCTGAAAAATCAGAAAGAGTTAGTTCCTCTAAGGAAGAAATATAGTTATATCAGAGTTCTATTTTAGTGAATGCCTGCAGAATGATACTATGTGTAAAACTAGTATTGCTCTGGGCAAAACTGTATTATTCCAATTAGTACAAAACAAATTAAGTAAATTTCTATTAGCCTGTTAATTTTGATAGCATAATCGAGTGCCATTTAGAGGAGTAATTTGGGTTCATTCACCACTGGCAGTGCTATGGAAGATACTGTAGTAAGTGTGACCAATACTCTGCTACTGAGTGTAGCTTATGAAGTAACCCCTTAAGAACTTAGATAAAATGAGAAACCAAGCACCCTTCAAGTGAGAATGCAAAGATATACAGATAAGGTATGATGCTAAAAATTGGCCAGAATATCAAGGAAACCAGTTAAAGAAAACATCCACTAGTATTTCATAACACATTTGGAAAATAAAAGTGAGGTGCATATTAGGCAGAACAATACAATAATGTTTCCCACTCATGCCTAACTGAAGTCAACACTAAGAACAAGGGATACTCTCTACCTCTCATCTTATTCAACTTTAATTTGAAGATAAAATGCCTGTGCAGACAAAGGCAGCAAATTCTGAGCTAGCTAAGCTGATGCTGGCCAACTGTGGACCATAATCAGCAGACTCAGCTTCCTGTATAAACAAAGGTAGGCCAAAGATTTTACTAACTGGAAGATAAAATAAAGGCAAGTGTTCCCCTGATACCACTTCAAGAATCACCGGAACCAGCTATGTCCAATATATTGCCACTTCCATGCTTACCAGGCTCAGCAAATTTCTGAGCAGACATATCCCAAAGCCAACAGGAAAACAACAACAACTAGGAGACATTTTCTAAAGTAGAAAGGCAGTGAGAAGATGAATGCAGGTGTGATTCAGCACTTATAGACTGGAAGAGCTGTGATACCAGTTTCAGTCTGTTTGTTTCTTTTTTATAAAAAGGTGCACCAAGTGTTTCTTCTTTTCTTCCCCCCTTTCATACTCTTCTCCATCTTCATGACTCCTTAGACTGACTGGGCTTATCCCCTTGGCATGCTGCTGGGGGGTGGGATGGGTGGGTTATACTGGTATCAATCATGATGACTCCTCAAGTGCATTGACAACTTGCTCCAGGATGTCAGGGCAGTGATCAGCTATCTGCTGTAGAATGGCATTGGCAAACTCTTGTAGTTCTGCGCTGTCCTTTTCACCCTTTTCTAGCTCATCATGAAGCTACAAGGAAATAAAAGACAAAATTCAGTCAGCACATGCTAAAGTCAATATTAAGATATTATATCAGGATTCAGCCCTTAGTCTGTGAGCTGCTCAGTGATGATGATAGTTCACACACAGGGAATTGTTTTAGTTATGAATGAGGACTGAACTGCCAGCTGCAGCTATTTGCTAGGCATATCTGTATGGCATCTGAGTTTGCAAACAGTTTTGCAATAAAATACAGGAAATGGCCCAAACAGTCTTTGTATCTGAGTGACTGCTTCTAGAAAGTTGTAGGCTGGAATATTACTTTTAGGTATATATTTAACTAGGCCTACCTTTCTCCATATTAATATTAATTAGGTATTAATAGTAACTTGTTTGTGCTGCAACCAACACAAGCTGACACCTGTGAAAGCATTCTGAGCAAAACTTCAGAGTTTCCTGTTTCTCATTCAGACAGAAATGTCCCCCTTGAGCATCAGTTATACTTCAAATTCATGCATTAACTTCCTGATGAGTACTCCCCAGTGGGAGATGTTCCTGCTGGCATCCATACATTTCATGGCATCTAAGCTTTTAACACAGCAAAGACTGAAATAGCTTTGAGACTCAGAGTCTTTGCCTGCCAATGCTGATATTACTAGAATTTGAATCCAGATCTTCCAAACCCAATTCTCTGCTAGTTAGGCATTTTCAGACCCCAAATCTGCAACATAGGACTGGTCCCCCCTTTGCATTTTTACACCAAATTTCACACATTATCTCACTATGAAAGTATTTTTTTTAAAAGTAGTGGGGAGGTTGTAACCTACATTAAATTGGGATTTGACCCAGCATTTGAGTAGCAATGACTTACACTAAACTGCATGTTCACCAAATCTGTTATGAATTGTTTAAATTATATAGAAACCTAAGATACATTTTAAACTCTGAGAAAAGGTAAGTGCAAGTATATTTCCTGCCAGATACATCTATAGTTAAAAGGCTTCAGTTATGAATATATTTAGCTTCTTATCAGTTCCAAAACACTTTATTAATGCAGGATGTATATAAATTCAAATACCTTTAAATTCTGTCTTACTACCAGTTTGGCATTTACCCTGGGAAATATGAAGTATTTGTTGATGTAACAGGATGGCAAATAAGTGAAAATATGTTTTAAAAGGTTAACTTTATTAGGCATTATTTAAATTTATTCAGAACAAGTTACATAATATATTACAACTAAACATTGCCTTGGCTAGTGTATTTTCAATATAATCAAACAAATTAGAAGAATGTGAAGACCATTGCTTTTTACACATAGATTTTTAACAATTTTAATTTTTCAGTTGAGGAAAAAGTTTTTTTTGGCTACATATGCCAAAACAAATGCAAAAAGAAATTAGATGCCTACAGTCAATATGATAGCTAACTAGGAAATACAAACAATCAAAGATTATCTTAAAAAGCATGTATTTTTTAAATTGGAAAGAAATCAACAGATAATATGAGAACATGTAGGATGTATCTAATTATTTGATTTTTATCTACTGATCATTATTTGAATGTATCTTCTCTTTTTCTTCTTCAGCTGCTGAGTGTAATCATTGCTGGACTTCATAGAACTAAAACATGATTTTTAGATATTAGGGTCAGGGACCATAAAACTCAAAAGCAACTTATTTTAACTAAGGAGTATGCAAATTGAGGGGTGGGGATGTGATTTCTTGCGCTATTCAAGGGAGAGAAGAAAAAATAAGAAAGAGCTTAGAGCATTAGATGAGAAAGGACAGATTTGATAAATATGCAATATATTGTAAGCTTTTACAAGTATGTTTTCATGTCACATGACCAGAATACTATTTGAAAGGCTCTTTGAATCCATGTGCATTTTAAACACAATATAAACCATGCTTTGTGAACCACTGTGAGAGCTTCAGATGTTGGGTGGTATAGAAATTAATTAATTAAATATAATAAGACCTTGGCAATAAAATCACGTAGCATTCAATGCAATGCATATTTGACTAAACTCCATGAAGCAAGAGAAAACAAAAGTGCAGAGAGGTGGAAAAACAGGAAGGCAAAGAAAATAAAGCAATAGATAAAAGACAAAGTTACTATCACAACAATTGTCCTCTAAAATTATCTTCTCAAAGGTCCCTAGTCCTTCCACATCACTGCATGGCCATCTCTAGCTCTTTCTCTAGCTCTTATTTTTAAAGGTTGTTGTTAGCAGATGATACAGCAGATGCATGTACAAGTGCTGATTTCTATTTTTCAGTCTATTATTTAGCACTGCAAAAGTAACTATTGAAAAGAAAGTGACAGAATGAAGATTATATATGTGTACTAGAACTACAATGAAAAAGTACACACAAAAATATGTCTTTCAAACTTAGAGGGAGGGGCAAGGGGTGAGATTTTGGCAAGTTAAATCTTCAGTGCACAAAATGCAACCACTGCCCTCCGCCCCTATTTCTTCAGAAATTTGCATCTGACAACTAGGAAGTATTGTGGCTTATATTCAGTAATGGTCACTCTCAATGGTTAACAAACAAACATTCTTAATCACCCTGATTATGGGTTCAGACATCTATCAAGTTCCCTAACACTCAACTGAGAATGGTTAAAAATCCCCTCTCATTTGTAGCACAACTGAAATTTCCACACAGAAATGCACTCTAACTTATGATTGCCCATATTTGCACTAAGAAAACTGTGAATTAGAAATATGTGCACACCATCTTGCACACGGCTGAAGAAATAACAGTGCTTTGTGAGGGGGGGGGTGAATTGCAGGAATCATATCAAAAGTACTGTGTCATACATACCTATAGTTCTGATTTATATGACACTTCCTCCATGCAACTGTCTCAACATGCTCATCCCCAGATATAAGAAATGTGGTGTTGCCAATGCAGGAATCAGCCCATATATGCAAAAGACAATCAGCTATACAATCTATTATATTTGGCTGGCCCGGCCGCCCCTTGAGATCTGCGGGAGAGGCCCTTCTCCAGGAACCCTCCATGAAAGAAATTAGGAGGGTAGGTACTCGGAGGAGGGCTTTCTCTGCAGTGGCGCCCAATCTATGGAATGCGCTCCCCAGAGAGGTCCGCCTGGCGCTGTCGTTACTTGTTTTTCGGCGCCAGGTGAAGACCTTTTTATTTAAACGGCACTTTAATTGTTAACAATATTTGCTTATTTATCTGGCCAGGGCGACTTCTTTTATATTTTTATTTATTTTATATTGTTAATTTTAACTTTATATTGTTATTTTTGTATTTTATTGTATTTTATTGTGTTTGTAAGCCGCCCCGAGGCTTCGGCAAGGGGCGACATAGAAATGTTCTAATAATAATAATAATAATAAAGTTTAAACATTGTTTAGGTGCCAATGAAATAGTAACAGAGACATGCCCCGAGGACATGCTTGTGCATTACAACATGCAAGAAACCATATGCCTCCTCCACTCTGTCAGCCTCAGTGACACAGCCAGCAATAACTCCATAGCTAGGGGTTGGATCACAAACATTGGAGTACAACACATAAAAAGGAGCATTTACACACACACACACACGTACGTGGAAAGAACTCATACACCCCTCATGAAATAAAATTTCAAGACTTATCCAGCAAGGAAAAGAGAGTAGCAGAGGAAGGATCTTGGACAGAAGCCACACACACAGAGCAATAGCAGCCATCAATAGCATGTTGTATAGGGCAAGGAACCGAGAAGCAGGAGGTAAGATATTTGAGCCCCACTGGGAGAAGGGAAGAATCTTTTGAATTCTTACTAATAAAAAGTCATGTTGGAAACAAAAAAGACGGGAAGTACCCAGGATTCAAAACCACACAGAAAAAGCCACAGAGCAATTCCCTAACCACCAAGCAAAGACAAACAAGTGACACATCACCCAGCATCAGCATTTCCTGAGCACCCAGTCACAGATGTGAAGAGTGCAGAAGCTATGGGACGAGTTCTAGTTAGGTGACACAGTGTACATTATGCATCCTGTTTAAATCCAATGTACACCCTTATGTTATTTTAATTACTTAATTTCTATAATTTATTTATATTCGACCTTTCTTTAAACGGCTTATACAGCTTATGGGAAATCAATTCAAAGGATAAGGTATATGGTACAGTGAAGTTCTCGATTGTACCACTATATTCTGCCCACATCTCTACTCTGCTTCAGTCATTCTACCAGAGTATCTTTGTTAGTAGAAAAGCTCTGTCAGCACATCTGAGGAGTTTTACTAATGATGATAGTCTTTATGGTATAGTTTGCCTGTTATTTGCTTAGCAGGGTTTCTTTCAAACCTTATAACCCCACTGTAGGTATGACTCAGGTATAGGATTGCACCTTCAATGACATGCATATAAATCTATAATCAATCTTAAGGCCAACCAGGAAATCCTAGTATAATCTTAAAAAAACCCCAACAAATCTGAAACTTCATCTGTTGGTGAATGTTTTCCTAAAAGGCCTCAGGACCAGCTAAACCATTGTTTCTTCTTACATTTCTGTAGATAAATATAAAAAGTGATCAGTCTACCTAGGCAGCCTACCCAAAGCTTTTCCTTTCAGCCAAGAAAAACCAGTCCAAGCTTCCTTCCTCACTCCTTGCTATGATGAGAATTCCACACATCGTGGTTTGTGGAAATGACCAAGGACAAGAGATAGTAAGAGGCCATTTGAGAGTGAATGTGCTGACAGGTTCTTAATAGATAACACAGGGGAAAAGGAACCACATTGTTTCCAGCATTGCTGTGATTTATATGGCATCTTTAAAGTAGTCTCTTGTATTAGTACTGCTGTTCACATTTTATAAGGCATAATTCCATACAAACAAACCATGAGTGCCAGTGTGGTGTGGTGTGGTGGTTTAGAGTGCTGGACTGGGGACACAGGAATTCTGAGATCTTGTCCCCATTAAGTAATGAAGATCACAGGGTGACTTTAGACCAGTCACAGACTCTCAGCCTACCCTACCTCATAGAATTATTGTTGTGAGGATAAAATGGAATAGAGGAATACTATGGAAGCTAGCTCGGGTTCCTTGTAAGAGGAAAAAAGACAGGATACAAATGCAATGTAATAATAATAAAGAGTAAAATTGTGCCTGAGAGGGGAAAGTATGGGAATGTGGGATTAAGGTGTTAGATAAGGATAGAAGCCATTAGGTATTTTGTGCCTATTTCTTCTTTGTCACTTGTCTGGAAATCAACTGTATTACCACGCCCTCTGGTCTACTGGTACTGTTATTAAATGCCAGGTTGCTTAATAATACATTTCCATCTATGAATTTCTATGATTCAATTATAGATGAAGTTGGTTTAGAGCATATAATGAGGTCTTAGGCTGCAGAAAGTTAGTCTCTCCCAGATATGGCCTTCCAGGGTCTTAATTCAGTTGCAGAATAGACTAGACCAGTGATGGTGCACCTTTTCGAGACCGAGTACCCAAACTGCAAGCCAAAACCCACTTATTTATCACAAAGTGCCAACACTGCAATAAAAGCTGAAAGCTGAGGTTTTAGTTTAGAAAAAACAAGTCACAGCCAGTCCAAGCAAATATATATATATATCCTTAGCAATGCACTGACCAGCCATGTGAAAGCTCTGCCGAGTGGCGGCTAATGAGTCGTGGCTCATGATATCATCGCCGGGCGCCGCTACTCCTTTCCAAGCATCCGCACGGCCCCTATGTGCACTGTTATCCGATGCATGGCCGCTGCGGTGATGCTGGGGTGACTTGGCTCTTGGGCCAACAGAGAGGGTTCTGCATGCCCACTGTGGCACATGTGCCACAGGTTCACCATAACTGGACTAGATATTCAGGGAAAGAAAATTGTTATGGTCTATAGGAATTTTCCCATCTCTTTAATTGAATTGTTTATTTGAGTGCGATTTTGGAGTATGTACATTATATGGTGAGCTCTCGGGACAGGTTAAAGATTCTGCTGGTATAAAGCCATCCCAGTATGTATTAATCTCCCTGCCTGATATCCTGGAAGCAGAGCTTCCCTTTTTTCCCCTCATAAGATCTATGTTAAGCACTGAAAGTGTACTCAACACTGGAAAAGTGAAGAACCACCCACCGATGAACTGATCCTAAAGAAGATCTTGGACTGTGCAGAAATGGACAGATTGACTTTGTCATTGAAGGAGAAAGAAGATACTGATTTCTCTCAAACTTAGGACTCTTTTTATTATTGGCTAGAGAAACGGGACTTCGTATAGATTCAAATATGTTTTTAAGTTATCATAAATAGAAATAAATGTGGGGGCTGACCCAGCAGGTCTGATGTTTCTGATGATTGATGTTGTTTTTAGTTTTTCTTTGTATTAGGGTTATTTAGAATAAAACTAATTTAAAAAAAGCACTGAAAGTGCTTAATCAGTGCCTGATCATGGAAATGGATTGGATAAGGGTCAATAAAGTGAAACTTAAGATGGAGAGGTATCATCTATCTAGGCTAGTAGCATTCAACCCATTTGAAAGGATCTGTTCTCTTTCTAAAGAATTTAGTTTCAGGGTGTTTGTCGACCATCTGTGTTAATAAAGGTTTGTGGTACAAAGTGCTTTTTGCTAATGCAGGGTGGCACATCAATTCTGAACCTATGTGTAGGTTGACCCAAGCATAAATGACCCATGCTTTGGTAATCTCCCATTTAGATTACTGCAGTGCATTGCATGTGGGACTTCATTTGAAGACAGTCTGGAAACTTCAATTGGTACAACACACATTGGAAAGAGAGTATTAACTAGAACTGGGTTCTTTGATCATATTAAACCAATATTATACCATCTTCATTAGACTCTGGTTCATGTCTGGGCTCAGTTTAAAGTGCTGGTTGTAACCTATAAAGTTCTTCATGGCTTGGGTCACAGTATCTGGAGGAAAACCTCTTCATATACAGTATATCACAGAAGTGAGTACACCCCTCA